TGAGCGAGCCACTCTAATGAAGAGCATACGAGTTTCGTGGCGATTAAGCGTGTTTTATGGATTTGCCAAAGCTGATTTAGTGATGCTTATCATTAGCTCGTTTTCGTTTTCGTTGTCGCTGTCGCTGTCGCCGTTGACCAGGCCCAAGTTCTAGTTCTCTCTACTCACCACTGTTGCGGCATATCGTTGCCTTATCCGATGGCTTATTAATTCTACCTAATTAAGAACGCGTTGTTTGATATTTAATAATGCAGTCGACAATAACGAGGCGACAGTGTTGGAAAGCGTCGCACTGGCCATTGAGTCAACATAAATATACCCTGTAATTTTTAGAAAAATTATTATTATATTATTACAATATTTTTTTAAAGATATATGTAGTAAAGATTTTAATGCTGGTATTCAAAATTTAAACAAAATTTGTTGTTTTTTTTTTATTATATTTTCTTACTTTATAATCAATCAGCCGTTGACATTTTAACTGACGATTACGACACAAAATGTATCAAATGCCTTCAGTAATATTTTATTGATTTTTGAAAACAAAGAGCGAAAACAGGGTATGTCGTTTAGCGGTTTTTTATGAATATATTTTTATTGGATTTTGTATTTATTAATGGGCGAGTAAAATTCATTATAAGTGCCATTGTTTGTTTTAATTGACATTTGATTTAGACAGACGTCTAGTGAGCTTAGCAAATGCAAATGTTTCTGCGTATTTATGAGTATTTAATATTGACTATTTCCTGTTGCCAGATGACCAAAGACATTTGACCAAAACCTGAGAAACGCTCAGCTCGAATGTTCATTAGGCGATGCTGTGATGCATAAATACTGAAATTCGCCTGCTCTTTAATTAGTGAACGGCCACGCCCGTGAAATGGGCATGAAAGTGCAAATGAAATTCAATAAAATGTTGTCGGTGCGGTTTTTGTTTTCCATTGCGGCAATTTGGGAAAGATGAAAGGGCACATTCTTAGCTGAGCTGCGTCCAGGCAGCTGAAAGAAGTGAAAAGCAAACACATCGACGTCAGGAAGATTCTTGTGGCAGGTGTCTCTGCTGCTCTACTTACTCAGCTGTGTGCCCAGCAGCACTGGGCAGACCAGCTGGCGGCTTCGGTAATCGGGCCTCGACGTGGCTGAATGCTCATCCCGGCTGCGTTGACTCCAGTAGAGCAGCGCTCCCCGTGGGACGCACACGCTGAGCTCCAGTTGCGGGAAGACAATGGCGCCGCCCAGCCTGGCCTCTTGCAGCTAATGGATATGGATGGAGTGAGACGATAATAGACCAATTAGTGACATATTAGTTAATCATTGCATTTGAATTACGCACGCTGAGCAGAGCACGTGCCGCATGCTCGGCTGTGCTTGATGGCTCCGCTAGTGGTGTGACGTGCTCGTGACTGTGCCGACGTGCCTGCCACAGCTCCGGCTCCACGCCGCCAATGCCCAGTTGACTATGGATGCCACGCATCCTTCGCTGCGCCAGCTTACTGAACTGCAAAGGCTCAAAGGCCTCGCCCTTGGACCGCCTCGTTCTGAGCTGCGGCATCCCATCCAGCATACCAATTAGCCGTTCGGTCTGCCGGGAGCTGAGTACATCATGATACAGCATGATGTATGGCTCCTCACTCAGCTGCTCCAAGCGCAGCATGCGCAGATTCGAAACATCTTGGCGGCACTCTGTGAAGCGGCTACCTGTCACGGGCTGCTGTGCGGAGGACCGACACAGCTCATCGACAAGCAGCTGCTCAACGGATTTCGTTGACTTGAAATGAATTTAAAGAGGAATACGTTGAACTCTATGAACATATACATATATAACTCTATAATCATACACATATACTGGAAGACAATGGAGATTGCGATTACTTAGCTGGGATCATAATTGAATTGTACACTACTCTATATGTTGACTTGGCGGAAAATAACGTAACAGAATTAATAAAATATAAATAGATAATCTAGATAATTGAGTTAAGAAAAATATATAGTTAAAGATCAGTTACTAATAAGCTCATCTATTGGCTTGCCAAAAATGACATGTTTTTACACATATAGCCTGTATATACCCTATATATTCCAACCTATCTATATATTCTCTGTTTCTGAGTCAGAGCTACAAAGCAAGACTTTTCAGCTAAGGCAGATTTTTTCTAACTTATATAAGATCTTCAACTACTTTTTTATCATGAACTCCTACTTATTTTCTCCCCATCAATATTATTTATCGGTATATTGTTGGTTTACTTGTAAAAATTTGTGCAATTGTGTTTACCTTTGCCTTCTGCTTCCTGTTGGGCACAAGCTTGACAGGACTTCCGTTTAGAGCACGTTCTATCTCGGCTTTTGCTTTTTGTGCACTCCGGCTGGCAGGACGCAGGAGCAACAATTCTTTGGCTGTTGTGAGCGCGCTCAAAAATTCACCTGAAGCGAATAAAGAAATTTGGAGAAAATAATAAAGAAATAGAAAACTTTTATGAATGCCAGTGAGATGCACCTGCACGGTAATCCATATTGAGCGACGCCTCCAGTATTTTAATCCTGGCCCGTTCCTGCTCGCTGTCCGATATTGTTGCATTCTGCTCAGCTACCAGCATTCCCATCGCCGTCTCCAGCCAGTGTTTGGCTACGGCGTGGTCGCCATTCCTCTCCGACTTGCGGGCTATCTCCAGACAGTCACTCCACGACATGGCCGAGCTGTTCGAATCGAAACATCTATGTAGTGTGTCCTTTGCATTTGTTTGCATTTCGCTGGGCGTACTCACCCCACCTTCAGGCCGTGGACTATGCCCAGCGAGAGGGCGGCTGGCTTGAGGTCGTACACGGATTGCAGTCGCAATAGATTGAGCAAAGCCGCCTCATAGTCCTCCTCGCTGGGCAGCTGTAAATCCAGCTGATAGTCTGGCAGATTTGTGGCCAGATTTTGGCTGGCATTTGCCTGCTGCTCGAGCAGTGGCCAAACGCTTTGGAAACGCTTGAGTATGGTGATCACATTCAGCGGATTGCCCATGTGCTCCTCCACCCGCTGGCCCACCAGTCGATGCACTTGCTCTATGGCCGCTGTCTCACTTTTAATTACCGCCAGCTGTTGATCTAAGGCATCGATATAGTCGCTCAGAGCGCTGATGAGTGAGCTCTCGGTGGTCAGCAGCCCCCGTAAGTGCTCCTCCTCACTGCTGCCACTCACAGCTCTTGGCCACATCAAAGCGAGCCAAAGCAGCCACAGCCATCGCTTTGGTGCCGCTGCTGCTGCTGTTGTTGGCATTTGCATAATTAGCTATTCTTGTTGTTGTCTTTATTCCCGTCCGGGTCAATGGCTGGCAAGCTTTTTTTATAATAATGCCTGCTTATGGGTGCCAAAGTTGCTATGCTGTAACAATTGACCAAGCCGCTCGGCTGCTGTGGCTAAACTGAGACGTAGAAACTATGAACGGGCATGAGAAAGGTGTAAGAGGTAAACTGCCTTTTCAAAAATAATAAATTCTCGAATTCTCTTTTGAAGATATAAGCTCTCTGTTCTCTCTTTTCCTTTTGTTTTTCTTTCTATTTGCAAATCATTTGTCGTTAGAAGAGCAAGTCTTATAGTCGTGTTTAAGAAATGGCATTATACAAAAGTCTGAAGCATAGATTTGTACAAACTTCTCATCTCACCAAGCTATAGAAACTCTAGCTGAAAAACGTTTCAGTAGAAGCTTTACTCGAGCTGCTTTTAACAGGGATTTTTCTTTCCCCTTAACTGAATGAATTAAATTCTTGAAGACTTAATCACAAAGAGTTGAGTATGAGACATAGTAATTGACAAGAAAAGCAATTAACTGTAGTTGTTAACTGTAAAGTTACCCAAGCCAAAGTAATTCCTAAACTTATATAAAAACTCTATACTCATTTTAAATATTTAATTCATTTCCTTAGTTACCTACAGATAGCAATTTATAAATGCATTTTAGTTATCTACAATATTTAAATAACCTTTTCATTTCCTTAGTAACACAAACGGATTAACGAATTATGTAATTACTGTTACGTTCATTTGTGTGTAGAGAATTCATGTATACCGAATTATGTATGAGCCAAGGTCAACTGTGACTTAATATGTCAAACGAACTTCCGAGCAATTCCAGCAAATTCCGCCTTGCCCTGGTTATTGAGCTAATTTCCTTACCGTCGTCATGATTAAGACAATTTCAAGGAATTAATTACGTCGGTTGTTGCGTCAATGTCTCTTCTGTGAAGGACCTTCAACTGATGTCTTAATAAGCGTAATTAGCCCTTCTGTCGCTTTGTTAACTTCTGGCTCTCCATTTCCTGCTTTGAGCCCTTCTCGAATCACTTTCACCTAGTCAAACGTAACTCGTTCCACTAAGCCACTAAGTCCTCATTTAACCAGAAGTTCGGACTGCATAACTAAAATGCATTGGCATGAAATGCATTCAATTATTTAGCAATCATTAATTATACTTCGATTCGTATTTAAGTGGGCTGTCAACCGAGCGTGAACCGACGGACTAATAGTTGGTGAAATTGCTGATATGATTTAAAATGTTTCAATTCAATTATAATATCCCTTTACTCTCTCTCTCTCTCATTCTCTCCCTCTCCTTCTCTATCAGGGTAAACATTTTAAAATCTGCATGAAGCGTGGCATTTATTTATTTATGACATTTATGTATATTTATTGTTATTTTTGAATGACTGAATGAAACAATGTGTACAACAGTTCTCAGACATATATGTAAATTAAAATTGATTTTATTGCACGTCAAATATTTACATTGTTTACCTTTTTCCTTATATTGAATTGAGTTGAATAGGGTAAGTCACGAAACATATTCTTTCACATATACATATATACGTATATACATATATATTAAGAGCAGAAAATGTTTTATTTGATTGTTACTTTGTTTACTGACTTTAATATTCACTTTAACGCTCTGTCTAACAAGTTTTATCTCTGCTGAAGCACTCGACTTTACCCACACATACATACACACATATTTAAGTTTTATTTGCTAACAATATTTTCAATTGGATATCAATTTAATTTGTGTAATCAATTGCCATTATAGCTCTAAGTGGTTCTCATCCATTTGCTCATTCACCGTCACCTTTGCTATCCTTATGCGATCGAGCAGCAGCTGCGTCTCTAGCAACGATTTATTATTGAGGGCTGCCTCGTTTTTCGGTTCGAGTTTTAGAATTTCGTTGTTGAGTTTATAGGCTAGCTTGAGGCTGTTTAGCTTCTTGTATACCAGAACCAGGTGCTCCAGAATACGTATTTTAATCGCCGAGGCACTCGCCGAGCTTTCCAGAGATGCCAGCTTGCGCGCCTGCTGTAGCCACTGAGCTGCATACTCATAGCTCTGCAGTTCATAAAAATTGCTTCCAATGGAGTGGCATTCGCTGGCGCTTAAAGTCACATTCTGGTCAGTATTATAATCCCTCAGCACCACTTCGTTGGCTAGCTCAGAGGTGGGAATGCGTGTGAACTCCTGCATATCCAGCAGATTCTCAGCGGCGATGAGGAGATCCTCATTCGTGGGTCCATTAAGTTTCTTTTTATTCAGCTCGCCCTCGACCGCATTTCTATACTCGCTATACGTTCTGTTTGCTAGCAGTACATCAAATATCTCATGCTTCCAGATGATGGCGAACCGATTAATGGTCAAGAACGCGTTGATTGGATTACCATAGTACGCCTCCGGACTATGCATATGCTCATGCAAACTGTCGATGTCGGTCAAGTAACTGTGCAATAAATAAATATATTATTTCTATTATTCTGTCTGAGCTTGCGTCGAATTTACCTTGAAATGGTCTCTTGCTCATTGTCCACTTTCTCCAAATAAGATTCCAAGTGCTTCACCAGCGCCGCCTCCAACTGCAGATAACCATCTATTCCCATACTGGGCCCAGCACATTCAGCTGCAATATAACCAAGTTCCAAACATCCCAATCCAAGCATCAATAGAACCGCACTTAGTCGAATCATTTTACCAAATGTTACTGACTGACTTTTCGTTTCTGAATTTGGAAATATACTTCGAATGGAACTATGAAGAAATTCAGGCAAATATTTACACAGCTGCCCGCTCTTGTTTGTGGGCTTATGTTTTCTGTAGCGACAACATAATGAAAGACAGGTGAGTTTGACAGCAGCTGAAGTGCTTCACGAGAACTAAATAATATTTTATTATTTTTTAATCATTATGTCATATACTCTTGAGTGATCTAATATTGGTACAGTTTTCGTTTATAAATGATTTCAGTAATGAAGTAAATGTTTATGGTTTTATCTTGATTTTTATATCTGAAATAATATATAAGGGAATATATTTTGGACATTATTTGTTATTACAGCTGTGATATAAAGGTCCAGTGTAATATATTTTACATTTCACACCTCAATTTGTTTACATGTTTAATGCATTCCTAATCCAGTTTCATAACAATTCTAATGTATGGACATGATATTAATTTGCTTTCCAGAAATAATCTGAATGTTGATTGAGATTATATATATCTATCGAAGGACTCACTTCAGATATATCTTTGCTAGCAAACTTAACATATTTCTTCTTTATCGTCGTTTATCTTCAATGTGCGATGCAAATCAATGGAAGGCCGGCTACCACGTAGATTCAAAACCTGTTATATGGCACAATGAACTCTGATGTTCTATACGTTTTCTGTCAGCAGAAACTGGTTTGGCTCAATTGGCTATTGGCAACTACGTTAGGGCTAGGACTTGGGTTAGAAATTATGTAATCTGCGTATGGGAGCCATGACCATGCATAAGCTATCAGACGGACCATCAGCCGGCGGGGTCAATCGGCAAAATCAGTTGAGCGCGAGTCGTGGCTGAGAGCAGAGATGCTGCTGAAGCTGAAGTTTTTCGGGCTGCTGGCTGTGCTGGCAGCTCTGTGCTGGTGGGATGTCACGGCCGAGTTCTATTCCTCCGTTCATGCGATGTCCAAGGTTTTTCGGTACGAGCAGCAAATGCTGCAGCACATGCAAAAATTCATCGCTGATAATGAGAGCAAATTGGATTTTCTGCGAGCGTAAGTTGACTCCAGGCCGGGCTGGGCTGGGCTGGGCTGGCACTAATTTAATTCAATCTTCATTGACAGGCGGCTGGACGAATTCGAGCGCGAGCGCAACCAAGCCGAGCAATCGGGCGTGACGTACTTCGAAAGTCCGCTGAACAAATATTTGCTGAGCAAACGCCTGACCCTGGACTGGGAGCACATTGCGCATCTCATGGCAGCCGCAACAGGAGCGAGTGGGTCTCCAATTCACTTACATGCTAACCTCATTACGCATACGCTCCGTATACCCTTCAATTACAGAGCCACTGGCACGTCTGCAGCGGCTGCGCCAGCGAGAGGACATGCCAAATGCCCGGGAGCTGGAGGGCGCCATCGATGGCTTGCTGCGTCTGCAGTACATTTATAGATTGCAGACCAAGCATGTGGCTGCTGGAATACTCGACGGTGTTTCCTATGGGTGAGCCAAATGGCAAATAGTTGGGGGGAAAACTGTCACAGCGAATGCACTAATCACACTTACCTCACGGTATTTGCGTTGCAGCACCCAGCTACACGCTCAGCATTGCCTGGACATAGCGCAACAGGCGGCGCGGGATGAGCATCCGCAGCTGGCGCACGCCTGGCTGCTGGAGGCGAAACGCCGTCTGTTGGACAAGGATCGCGCTCAGCTGCTGCCAGTGATTTTGGAGCAGCTAGTCAAGCTGAAAGCCAGGCTAAGTGATTACCGAGGCATGAATAATACCCTGCAAATGCTCCGAAATATAGAGCCAGGCACTGAGAGGCACTTGGATAGCTGGAAAGAACTTAATCAAGTCGAAAAGCAAATCGAAGAGCTGACCGCTGATCCAGTCGATGAACATGCTGTGCGTATAGAACTCCATTACTCATCCTATTCCAATTCATCTGATCTTTGTTTCGCCTGGCAAATCTAGCCCCTACCTGAGGACCTGACCAAGCTGAGCGACTTTGAGCTCTACCGCCACACGTGCAATGGTCATATAAGGCCCACGCCGTCAGAGCTGCGTCCGCTGCGCTGCGGCTACATGACCGAGACGCATCCCTTTCTGCTATTGGCGCCCATGAAGGTCGAGGAGCTGAGCCACGATCCACTGCTAGTGCTCTTCCACGATGTCATCTATCAGAGTGAAATCGACACGCTGATGAGGCTAAGCAAAAACAAAATTCATCGTGCCACCGTCACGGGCCACAACTCGTCCGTCGTGTCCAATGCGCGCACCAGCCAATTCACCTTCCTCCCGAAGACGCGCCACAAAGTGCTGCGCACCATCGATCAGCGGGTGGCCGACATGACCGACCTGCACTTGGGTGAGCTTCAACTGAAACTGTGCCTGCCCCGGCCATCTACATACATGTATGCATTTCGATTCCAGAGTATGCGGAGGATCATCAGCTGGCCAACTACGGCATAGGCGGCCACTATGCCCAGCACATGGACTGGTTCCAACCGCTAGCCGTAAGTACAGCAGCTCAAATTCGAATACATATTTTATGATGAGCCTTTCATCATTCCCTTTGCCAGTTTGAAACTAAGCAGGTGTCCAATCCGGAAATGGGCAATCGCATTGCCACCGTCCTCTTCTATGTAAGTGCCTTTGATGCCTTTGTTGCCCTTTGTTGCCAACCCACTGAGAAACATGTTTTCCCTTTTGCACTTTCTAGCTCACCGATGTGGAACAGGGTGGAGCGACGGCATTTCCCGTTCTGAAGCAGCTGCTCAGACCCAAGAAATATGCAGGTACGTGCAGTGGGAACTTGAATGGGGGCTGGCTAATGGCTTCTATATTACGTTACGGTATTATAAACTAACAGGAAGTCTAGTAATATTCTGAATTCGCTTCCCATCTAAGCTTATCAACACTATGCAGCAATCAAAACTAAAACTTAAATGTTATTATGAAGCCCTATCCTTTGGGGCATTCAAGTTCCTTCTGATCCTTATCCAGCCCCGTTGGCCCGCACGTAATTATATGTTTCCCAATTTCGCTAATTTCAGCTGCGTTTTGGTACAACCTGCATGCCTCGGGCGTGGGCGATGCGAGGACCATGCACGGCGCCTGCCCCATTATTGTGGGCTCCAAGTGGGGTAAGTGGCGACTAGTGTTGGGCATTCGAGCTCTATTGGTATAACAGCTACGCTCTATTATTATGCAGTGCTTAATCGCTGGATACGGGAATTCGTGCAATCGGATCGTCGATCCTGTTACCAGTGGGACGACTCGCAGGTCACACTCAGTCAGGTCTTAGAGCTAACCGCAAAACAAGTGGAGTGATTCGTATTACTTATAGATTAGTTTAAATAAAAAATAAATACTCTGTATGGTTTTTTTTTTTTCGTGAAGCCCCTTCAAATGAAGAAACTTCTTTAAATAGTTGACTTTATTTGGTTTTCTGTTTGCCATTTATACATTCATAATTCAGCTAAATTAAATTCAACATTTATGTGTTTGCATAATTGCTAGTTTCTGAAGCTTTGCCACACGTGACTCATACGCCACGTGAGCCCACAAAAATAATTTTCTTTGGCTTGCGATCTAAGGAGATTTTGTTTCAATTACGAAATAGTTAAATCTTCACTAGATTCCTTTTTTTTTATTTTTTTTTATTTATTTTTTAAATTTTCATTCCCGCTCAATAATATGTGTGTATTTGAGTAAATTCAATATGATTTCAAATAAACATTTATATAATGTAGCTTTACGATGGCAAAATTTAATTTTCGCTCATATATTTGTATTTTGATATTCATTTGTATAACATTTAAGAATTGCATCACACATCGATATTAAAAACAACAATGCATCAAAACATTTATATTTCTTCTTTTTTTTGGTATTTTTTATTTTTATTATATTTTTTTAGCAAGTCTCCGAGTGACTGCTCTTTGTTTCATAAATTAATAAAATAGTTTAGCTATTTAGTTTTGTTTGCAAATTTTCGATTTGCTTGTTAAAGGACACCGAGTGAAAGTTTCTTTTTTTTTTTTTTTTTTGACTATGCAGTATTTTTTTTTTGTGTATAAATAGTTGTTAAATTCGCTTTCGTGGTAGGGTATTATTTTTCTTTTTTTTCAGCTTTTTCGCTTCCGATGAGTTCTGTGTGGTGGGCATTTTGATGCTAGGTTCAGTTAGAGTTATCAATTTTTTTTAGTGCACTGGTAAACACTTCCAAAGGGATTGTCTCTTAGGGGCACATGGTACATAAATACATACATCAATATACAAATAGTTGTAGATAAATATATTCATTATATATTATGTGTGTGTGTGTGGGTGCTTGCGTATATATGTACTTACACACTGTATACATTTAAAATTTGACTAATTTCTTTCAAATGTTTCACTTAAGCTTAACTTTAACCTCTTGCCGCCTTCCAGCCATTTGTTTATTGAAATTACAGTTTCTTTATATTTAATTACCATTTTTCATATTTTTTATACACCTATAAACATTTATATATATATAATTATTATTTTGCAACGCTATAATTCACATCAATATATGTATGTACCATGCCTGTATATAGAACATGTACGCTTTTATATCTGTATATATGTATGTAAGTAGAGTTGGTTAATAATATTTTGTATATCGCGAAACGCGACTTTCGCTCAATGCTCAATGTTCTATGCTCATTTTATATATATGTATGTATGTTTTCTTCGCTTATGTCTTGCATTTGATTTGTTCAATAATAGTTGTAATTGGAATATGTTTTGTTCAAACTCACATCGAGATATACTGCCCTCTGAGGGGCTAAGAATATGCATAAAATTTACTCTGCTCGGCTCTCTCCGCACTTTGATCTCATGGCATCGATAGTCATCATCAGGTCCATCATTCACTCTCCCCCTCCATAATCTCTGAGTGGCGCTTAGATCTCGTAATTGCGGAATTTGTTGGCCACATCGGTGTTCTCAGTGCCCCACTCGGCCTTGCGGCTGCCGTAATA